AACCTGTCCAGAGAGTTGCTGTAGGTTTTCACCCGATGCCCATATGGTAGTGTCATCAGCAAACAAAACCACTTTCACTAAATCAGAAACCTTGCATATATCATTAATGTATAATATAAATAATTTAGGTTCCCTTAACAGAACCCTGAGGCACTCCACATACAATGTCCAGCTCACTCGATTGGTATTCACCCAACTTCACAAATTGACGCCTCTGTGTCAAATAACTTTTAATCAATTTCAGAACCATTCTTCTGATCCCATATTTTTCTAACTTGTCCATTAATAATTCATGATTGATTGTGTCAAATGCTTTTTTTAGGTCAATAAATATTCCCATCATGTATTTCTTCTCATCTGTAGCACTTGTAATGTCCTCCATCAGGTCAGTAATGGCCAAGGATGTCGATCTTTGTGACCTAAAACCATATTGACAATCAGATAAGATATTATGTTTATCAATAAATGTGTCTAGTCTGTTATTAAAGAGTTTTTCCAGAATTTTGGAAAACTGTGACAACAGAGGAACCGGTCTATAATTTGTGAAGTTGTGCTTATCACCAGATTTATACAGTGGAATAACCTTTGCTATTTTCATATTATTAGGGAACTGCCCAAGTCGAAACGGCATGTTAAAAATATGGGTTAATGGTTTGCATATCCCTTCAATTACCCATTTAACAGTTGTCATAGTGATGCCATCACTATCACTAGATGTTTTGTTACCACATTTATTCACTATCTCTATAATTTCCTTTTCAACTATTGGCTTCAAAAACATAGAACTCATGTTCCTTTCGATTGTATTATTATTTATAGTGCTGGATGTATCATCTGTACAAATGCTTCTTGCTAAACCAGGACCAACATTCACAAAGAACCTATTAAACTTATCTACTACATCCTCCAATCTATTAACCGGTGTATCATTATCCATAAAATATTGAGGGTAGTTACTCTTGCTGGAACTGTTTCTAATCAATTTATTTAATATATTCCAAGTACCTCTCATGTTATTTTTATTATCCTCTAATACTTTAGAGTAATATAGTTTCTTACATGTCCTCAAAATCTCAATTAATTTGTTCTTATATGACTTATATTTTTCTTCCGCCTTCTTTGATCTGTCCTTTATGAATTCCTTATATAACGCATTCTTCTTTTTACATGCATTCTGTAATCCCTTACTCATCCACGGTTTCCCACTGTAATTCCTTTTGTTTTTATACTGCTCATGAGGACAGTTCCTGTCATATACTTTCTTGAATATATTTAAAAATTGCTCATATGCTTTATCTAAGTCTTCCTCTCTGTAAACTGATTCCCAGTTTTGCCCCATAAACTTTTACAACTTTAGTTTAGCTTGGCATCACTCCACTTTATTTCTTTTATTTCACTGTTAGTTTAACAAAGCGTCACTTAGCTCGGCTTCTGCTTGACTCATTTTAGCAGGTCACTAAACTACATTAAGTTAAACCTAGCTCAGTTAGCTTTAGTCTGGATGAGTGTGATTCACTTTGCCCTGTGTTTGTCCCATCAGACTGAGCGGCCTGTCTCCCTTCATGGGCGACAACGACAACGAGACCCTGTCCAATGTCACATCAGCCACTTGGGATTTTGAGGATGAGGCTTTTGACGAAATTTCCGATAATGCCAAAGATTTTATCACCAAACTGCTGAAGAAAGACCTGAAGTAAGGAGGGAAGGAGCGAACCACAGCCGAAATCATGACACTGAAAATGTGTGCTTACTGAAAAAAGCTCATGTAAACACAGACCAGTGCCACAAAAATTATAACAGTAACATTTTGGTCCAAAAAAGTGAACCAACTATGTCAGCTTCAATTAGCGGCAAAACCAGCTGGCTGCTGCCTACCACTTTGTTAGTTAACATGTTTTTTAACAGTGGTTTATATTTTATTATATATTTTTGGAAACTTCATTGCAACATCAAAAAAGGTCACTGTTGCACCAGCTCAGAATCATACAACACAACAAACATACAGTAGCGCGCCAACACGTATTTCATTGAGAGAAGTAGTTTGTAATCCAGGGATTAAGCGATTTTTAAGTGAAATGTTTTAGGGACCTGTTTATTAAATCCAGTGTCCTCGTGAATAGAATTTTAATTACCATCGTCCATAAAACAAGTCGCTGTGGTCATCTGGCAGCCTGAAACACTTTGTAGGCCTGTGAACCTTTTAACTTGGAGAATTTTACTTGAACACCGTAGTTGAACATTTTTGTGGGATTTATTTGTCTGTTCATGTCATTTTAGTTCCTTTTTACGTTCCATAAAAAAAGTGTTTTCCTTCAGAATGTGAGTCCGAACACCAGGAACCTGTGTGGGTGTCTTTCAGGGCTCGGCTGACCTGCGCTCAGTGTTTTGAACACCCCTGGCTGAAGCAGGACACCAACACCATGAAGGCCAAGAAACTGTCCAAGGAAAGGATGAAGAAGTACATCCTGAGGAGGAAATGGCAGGTAAACTACCATAAGTGGCTGAGGACATTACACAGTACACACACTACTGTGACACCAAAGGGCACAGGAAAACAGACTGGTTAAAACTTTCCTTGGATCCTGCTGTTGTGGATGAAGCTCTGCTTTTGATGACTCTTTCTTCTTCTGTGGCAGAAAACGGGTAATGCTGTTCGAGCCATCGGCAGACTGTCGTCCATGGCCATGATGGCCGGAGTCAGCGCCAAGAAGGGCTCACCCACCGAAGGTCTGAGCTGCACTGACAGTTGACACAGCAGGAAAGAAGTCGAGTCGGTTCATTTATAAGCCCATTTACAACAATAGGAGCTGGTCAAAGAGCCACATTAAAAGAAAGAGATACAGAAATAAAACACACAAGATATCAAGAAGCCAACAACAGAAACACAGACGGCAAAGAAAAAGATATTTAACCAGGTTTAAAATGCACACCACATGTATGTATGTCACATTGCAGAAATGAACCCGGGATTAAATAGAGCTTGAAGCACTTTGTCAAAGTCCTTGAAAGAGAAAATGCTCCACTTTAGTCAGAACTCGGCTGAAAGAGACCGGGTTTATTTATCACATTTAGGAGCACTGTTCAATATCACATCCAGGTCCTTTCACCGTAGGTGCTAATGGGTGAGGGAAACATCAGGAGAGCCTCTGGACTCAATAGGTCCAAAGACCACAATAGTAGTATCGTAGAATAGCATGAAATAGAAGAAGAGACACGTTCCAGTGTCCACTGAAAGGCTGCTTGGTGTGCTCACTCACTTAGTTCATGGGTGTTTTTCATTGTTCAAATGATGGATGTTGGTGGAAGTAATGAAGTAATTTGGGCCTTGTGTTCAGAGGACAACCAGTTCCTGGAGTCCTTGGAGTATGAGCAGAAGACAGAGTGTAAGCCAAGTTTTAGTGTGGTCATCAAAGATGTGGAGGTGGTGGAGGGCAGCGCCGCTCGCTTCGACTGCAAGATAGAAGGTAGCAGAGCTGGGCTGTATCCACAGCACGTACCCAGTGGACTAATGAAAACAGACTTGTTAATAATGAAGGTGAATGAACCGCAGCTCTCTGAGAGACGCAACCTTGTCTCTGTGCCCAGGTTACCCTGACCCTGAGGTGGTGTGGTACAAAGATGACCAGCCAATCAAAGAGACCCGACACTTCCAGATCGACTACGACGAAGACGGAAACTGCAGCCTGGTCATTTCAGAGGTCAACTCTCATTTATTACTCATACTACAGTACTTGTGTGTTAGGAAGAACATTGCCGAGTGTTCCTATACTATTCCAAGGTGGTTAGCTCTAGTGCTAAGCTGCAGTCTCACCAGATAAACAGTTGAAACCAGCTTCTTTTGCCATGCTGTGTTTGTTTGTGTGTGTGTGTAGCAGTTCCTCACCAATTGAAACATGATACCAATGAACAGAGCTCCTTCAAACGGCCTGAATCGATTGGATGAACAACAGTGTTTTGACATATTGTTGCTGTCAGAATATCTGAAAGTACTCATACCGCTACCTGATATGTTTTGGTATAAACCTGCAGGTGTCAGGCGACGATGATGCCAAGTACACGGTGAAGGCGGTCAACAGTCTGGGGGAGGCGACCTGCACAGCTGAGCTGCTGGTGGAGTTTATGGCCGGTGAGGAGGAGGAGGAGGAGGAGGAGGAGGAGGAGGAGTAAAGATGTGTCTGTCTGGACTACCACAGGAAGAGGAGGGAGTGGTGTGGAACTTTGCGTTGGCCTGTCAAACCCGAGCAGGAAAAATGTACCCATGATTCAATAAATTGTGCTGTTGTGATTGGAGGAGCAGGTGGGCGGAGTTTGACACATGGGAATAGGATTAGTTTGTCGAAAACAGCCCTGATAAATGCACCAAGTGTCCTTGTAAGTGGACAACGTGAACTCCCCACAGCTTGCTAAAATCCCAGAGTTCTAGTAGCTGCACACTCAGCATGTGCATGTAACAGTGACCACCCTGAAAATTAAGGTGGTGTTCACATCAGTTTGATTTCTGATGTGGCACTTCACCATTACTAATGCCGTAACAGTGTCTGAACAGTTCCTGCGAATGACATTTGTAGCCCTCTGACCAACAGCAGTGCGTCCTGCTGTGTGCTAAGCCCCGCCCACCTGAAACCTGGAGTACAGAAGCCCCACCCCTCTCAGGTCAGCCTTTATTCCTTAGCCGCATTTTCTTTTAGAGGCCTATAACTGAAACATGACATGTGACATGCAGAACGACGTGAAGTGAAGATGACCTGTGGAGATTTGGACGAGTAGAGGCGCCATGGACCACAGTTTTTGATCCTCTCTCACACACACACATGTGCATGCTGACAATATGATACACAATACTGCTGACACCAGAGCCGGATTAAGCTCCTTAGGGGCCCTGGGGCACAGCGATGTTCCTGGGCCCCTAGTGCCCCCCACTATGCATGTCAGTGACATCATCACTCCCAGAAACCAACCAGGACACGAGGGCTAAAGCGATTAGAGGGCTAAAGCAATTAGTGGATTAGTCAGTTTGTTGCCTGACACAGAATTGATTGGCAGCCATTTGGATAATTAATCATATAAGTATTTATTTAAGCAAAATTTGACTTGTGAATGTGTCTGACAGTGCAGTGCTGGGGTGTGACTGTTGGTCAGTCAAGACAAAGCTTTGTGAATATACTGCTTTTCACTGTTTTGACACTGAAGAGCCAATCGACCCATTGTCTTATGGAATAATTAGACCTTTCCTGAGATTTCTTCTGTGTTAAGTACTTGACACGCAGAAAAACTGAAGCAGTGTGATAAAACAACTTAACAGTTTAATCAGTAATCAAAGTGTTAAAACTAGATCTGGACAGAGTCCTTCTACAAGGCCGGGCCAACACGATGAAGAGCTGCTGTTTATTAACATGTATATATTAATAAATAGCAGTTCCACCTCCCAGGGCTCTCGTGAGTATGATCCAGGTGTCACTGGTAAACTGGTTGTTAACCCTCCTCCCCAACAGTCTGACATCTGACTGATCAACAGCATCTTCGGTTTGGCACTCTCCACCTTTAGCCTGTATTCATCCATGAATGCAGTTACACTAATGTGTGTAGCTTTGTAAAAAGAACACATGCAGTGACAACATCTGCCTCACCACACAGGGCATCTGGGTTGATGAAGACTTCCAAACAGTTCTGTGTCAGTCACCAGGTACCTTAATGCTGTATCATTGCGATGCTCAGAACCACACCTATGGCAGCAGAGATGAGGCATCCCACAGTTGGTCTGTGTGCCCTTGCTGCTCTGCTGGGAAACAGTCAGCCCATGCACCTTCCTTCTGTTTGAGCACTTTCTTTTCTGCGCGTTCTGTTTTTGACTTCAACAGTGGTTGAGCTCCAGAGCACCTTTGCTTTGTCGTTAGCCTTAAAGCCACACAGCGACACATTAAACGACAGTAGTCGTAGTAGTAGTTATTGTTTCTGCCAAATGCTGATCACATGGTGGGACAAGGGAAGGCTGGCTGTCCACCGGGCTGGCTTAAGAAACCCCTCGTTTTATTGTCTTGTACAGGCGTTATAAGACTCCAGGACATGCACCAGATAAAGAGATTAGCCCATAAATCCTAATTATAAGATATGTATTATAAATGCGATGTTCTCCCAAAGGTCTCATGATTATCTTGTTGTTCATATATTTTATGTCATCCTCACAAGATTAAATCTTTTTCTAAATTTCTAGCTTTTTATCCTGAAGTTATGACATGAACATGTTTCAAAGCTACAACATCCTTCATGAGATTAAAATTAAAATTCAGCATTGCTTTTTAGAGTACTGTGATAGATACAGATCTTGTCTTTTAAAAAAAATATATTTTATACGTCTTTATCACATAATCGCAGGATAGATTTTGTGATTATGTGATTGTTGCTGAACCTCATTTGTGATCTTTTCCATGATGACCTGATCTTCTCTCTGAACATGGTGCACACTCTCCTTAGGGAGACAAAGATCTATGCTTCCCGTATGTCTGAGAAAAGATCTCATACATAACTGTGATGTCCATTGCTTGTACAAATCACAATACGACAAGAATTTCTTGAGATGTTGCAAACCCAACACAACGTTTGTGGTGCTGTAACACTAAACATCACAACCCCAGAATCAAAGAAATCTTTCTAATCTGACACTTTTTACTGTTTACAGTTTTATTGTGGACTTTTTCAAATGATGAGCCACACAGATGAACCTCAGGTGACTGTGGTTTATTCCAGTCTTTCTCACTGAGCAAAGCAAAGTGAAACTTCAAGAGGACTGCCTTGATTTTAGAAATTGTGTGTTTGAGTGCATTTGACTGGTAGTTGAAGCAGCTTCAGCAACGAGACCTGGGCCTCTGTCCCCTCACAAGCCACGTGTGATTTAAACGTGTTATCACATCGATGCTGACGTTGGAGTCGTACCTTTGAACGTTTCCTGTCACATTCCAGCTGTTTGTTTGTGCTTGAATCCATTTCCTTAAACTCAGTTTTCAACCAGAAACCAAAGGAACTTGTTTAAACTTCACAGCTATGTTTGTGTGTTCATGTTTAGGCCTGGGCCTGTTTGCGTGTTGGCGACTGTTTGTTTTTACAAATGTTTTATTTTTAGACTTATTTAATGCACAGATTCATTATCATAATATCATCTTCTTGGAGATCTTCTCGCCAGCACTTATTTGTCACTATTACAAGTGTTCTCCTCGTACTGCAGCAAACGGGGGCTCACTCCTAGACTGAGTTGTTTTTGTATTAGATGTATGTAGATCTTGTTTCTCTAGTTTTTATAAATGTATTATCAGTTTGATGAACTGCAGATGACATGTATGAGAGCACTACGACTGTAGTCACTCACAGATACCAAATAAATGTCTATCACAAGCCAAAATGCTGCTGTGGTGACTTACGGAAACTGCGACCTACGAGATGAGCAGATGTGCTGGTGGTGGGCTGCGCTCCATAGCTAGCAACACTGGGTTTTACATGTTTTCAATAAGAATCCACTTGTTTTTAAAAGACAAGGAAGAAGAAGAAGCAGCTTTATTTTATTGCCAATGTAACATTGTGACACATACAATGAAATTTTGTTTGCAGCCGAGGGGCTCCAGGCCGCTGCATCCATACGCGCCGCCATCACAGGCAACTTGAAGTTAATGAAGAAGCGTAATACAGGGGAATGTGAGTTGTGTAGGGTACAGGAAACTGTGGAACATGTTATTATGAGTTGTCCCAGGTTCAGGTGGGAGAGGAAGTTACTTAAAAATACAGCTCAGGAGATAGAGGGTACAGAGCACTTCTTAGGTTTTCAGAGAGTACAGAGCTAAGCAAGACACTATAATGTGAACTGAGTGAGGTTATTTTAATGTAAAAGTAGCAGTAGTAGTAGTAGGCCATTTTGAGCCAAACTCCAGTCTACAAGGTGGCGGTAATGTACATGAAGCTGTTTGCCAACCGCCATTGAACAAGAGAAGAAGAAGAAAGACAAGGAATGACATGCTCAGAGAGTAATACTGCTTCTGAATGACCTCAAACATACACCTGGTTACCAGTTTATTAGGTACACATAACTAAACCTAATGCAGTCTAATTATACTAATTGTGTTTTTCTCCTACCTTTACTGATTTACAGGAGGTGGACAAAATAAAAGAAACATTGTCTGAACTGTGAACATCCTGAAGGGAGTTTTCCTGCAGCGCTGTTGCATCAGGGCTAATGAACTAATGGCTGTAAAGCAGGAGCTGCATGTTCTCGTGTACTGCATGAAATGAGCTGAAACAACCTGAAATTAGAAATAAATATTTTACACTAATTTGATCAGAGCTCAAAGGGACAAACAATAGATGCAACACACACCTTAATCTCTTTAAATCTTTTCAAATATTAATAAAAACCCCTGAATATATTCTGGTGATTTGTATCCACAAATGTGCAGCAGACTCCAGAATTTCCACTTGAAATTAAACAAATGAACATGTTTTTAGTGAAGAAATTCACCTGCAGAGTCTTTCTGTAAGTTTGAACAAATTCATGAAGTCATTAAAAACTTTGTTGATCCCACATCTGTGGTTTTAAATAACCAATTACTGAGTAAACCCCATTAAGTCTTTGCACCCTGGTTGGTCCTGGTACTGGGACCAGGCTCAATCCTTTATGTTTTTTTTGTTTGTTTTATTTTTTCTAATGCTTTTCAAATAAATACATTCTATAAAGCTAAATGTATATAAGGTGTCAGATTTATGTAACGCATTTTAGATAAAAATCAGTTGTATGATGCAAAATGTAAAAACTGTGAGCAGGTGTACTGCACTATCTACAGTCTTGTGTTAATACGTTTGTTACAGTAAATGTTACAGAATATTTCTTCCATCACCTGCTGCCATCTGCCTCTCCTCCTTGTTTTTTTCTCTCTCCCTTTCTTTCTCTCTCTCCCTCTCTCCTCTCTGCAGGCTGTCTGTCCCGGGTGTGGCACACAGCTGAGACAAGTTGCTTCATCACCATCCTCCTACTTAAGACTCTGGCAGACACTCCTCTAGTGCCAGCACGTTGAGGATTACTTCCACTACACTTCGGCTCGCCATATCGACTCGCCTGCAACTCTTTGTGTCTCTCCAGCCTCCCAGCCACACCATCTTTGCTCATCTCCCTCCAAGCCCTCCAGCAACACTATTCTCATCTGACATGAAAAAACCTTTTAAATCTTCATATTCACAAAAATTGGCAGTGATGTTGTGGTTGGTTTGTCAGCAAGTATCAGCTGGATAGGAAAGAAGAAACTGTAACAGAATGGTCACACAGGTTGAAATTACACTCTGCATAAAATAGGTAAACATCCTACAGGTGACTGACAGCACTATAGTCAAGATGAGACAGGAGAGCATGTCTTATTCCTCTGTGGTGCTTGCAATGAGCAGTGTGCTCCAATGATAGTTTCAATGAAAGAAATGAAAGTAATATGCGAACAGAAGGGCATACCAGGTAGCAAATTTAATAAGGTATGTAAGATTGTTATTATTTAGCAGACATAGGTGTCATAGATAGGATTTAATTATGCATGAAGGTATAGGCACCTTGATTTCTTTCTTTCTTTCTTTCTTTTTTTATATATTTCTTTCAGCTCAATTGCTGATCCACATGCCACTTCAGTAGGTAGTGGCAAACATAATCTGGCATGCAAACTGGGGGATGATGAGGAAGAGGTTGTCCTGTCAAAACTTGTCTTTCTTCATGATTTAAAAAACACATCACCACCAGCTGTAATTCTGCTCCTGAAACGGTTGTGCACGTGTTTTGGACCTATAACTACACTGAAATATTTTGGTAAAATATTCTTGCTTTTATTCAAAGTAAAATTCTCAGTGAGTTTTCTTTCTCCTTTAAAGACATTCTTTTCAGGACTTTTGAGTACAAGAAGGATGATGACGACAAATTTCATAATAAACTTTGTTTATAACTGCGAAATATTATATTCACAAATGTGCATTTAATAACAGCAAACTTCTCATAACTGTCTTCAAAAGATACTTGGAAAGTATTAGATTCTCAACAAATGCCAAAGCTGTTAAAATTTTATGTTTATATGGAATATATACTATTGAATGCTAATTTGTATTTATCATGCTACTGTACTGTATTTATTTCCCCCCTTCGCTGTTTTCCTTTGTTATATATCATCTAATACTGTCCTTGTGCTCCCTGGCTTTGTTCTCGTTTGTTATGTTTGTTCGTTGTTTCAATAAAGCTTTGTAATTAAAAAAAGGTTGTTGTTGCTGCTGCTGCAGGTCGTCACTGGGGGCGCTGTACGCTCACACGATCAGTGCAGTTACAGGAAAGCCCAGAAAGAGCATGCGCAGCTTGATACGCTGCGGCGACACATCGCCCGCGGAATAAAAAAAAGAAAAGCAAAACTGCTGTTTTTATTTGTCGCCATTAAAGCACGATGTCTGGTACCGCGTTGAAGAGGTTGATGGCTGAGTATAAACGTGAGTGGACTGAGCAAGCTGTGTCCTAACACCGCTTTCAGCCGGTGGCAGAACTCGTAGCATTAGCAAAAGGCTAAGCTAACAGCTTTGTGAGCTCGTCCTGCGCCAGACTTCATGAAATAATTTTTTTGTTTAGGGATTTCTTTGTTAATCGGCATTAGAGCTAAATCGTTGACATAGAAAAGGTCATATAGTGAATAGACTAAATATTCCGGTAATACAGCATAACTTTGCTACACCCAGTAGCATTCACAGTAACAACATTTTAGCTAGCACATTTGTTTGTGTAGACTGGAGGCGCCATCCAGAATGTTCTTCGTGCACTGTGACTATGCCACTTCATCAAAAACGACCTCGTTCTCAAACTAGAAGACTAATTAAAGCTGATCAGTACACACTGTAGTTTGTCGTATACCAGAAAAAGTCGACAGACCACGAATACAGTAGGAAGCGTTAAGAGTGATACTTTAGTAGTGTTAATTTGTCACGCTAAAATAGTTGAAGTGGAGTTTGGTGTAACTGGAGTAAACGGGATACACAGCATAGTCCTAGTAGATTAACATTTACTCGTGTCTGGACAGTTTAATGTTGAAATAATTTCAGTGATGTTGCGGTTGTGAGGGCGCGTGTGCATGTTGTGCTGTTAGCCTGTCAGTGTTGGCACCTTTTATATCGCTATCACAGAATTCCGTGTTTCCAGAGGCTGAACCCAGTCTCGGTATTGACGCTGATGTTGCCAGGATGAGGGGAAAAACCCAGTGAAATCGCCATTTTTTGTTTCCTCAGGTCAAAACTGAAACTGTGTTAAAGTGGAGTCTACCTATTAGATCCAGGTTTGATACGTTTTCATGTGGTTTTTAAGGTAAACCCGCTGTTTTTTTTCATAAATGAACTCAGCGGGTTTTAAACATTGATGAGGTTCTAACTCAAACGTCAAACAGTATTTGGGGACGTGTTGCAAAAACATTCAGTTGCTCAGTGTTGTCATGTCAGTCTCCTTTATGACTTAAGCTTCAACGTTGTGTTTAGCAGCCCGTTTTTTTTTATTATTTTATTTTATTTATTTTTTTTTATTTTTTTTTTTTTTTTTCTCTTGCATTGTGGCAAGCCCATATTATACGGTTAACACAAAAATTTTGGAGTAGTTTGAAAATTCCTATGCTGCTTAAATTCCTATGCTGACCCTGTCTCCCCCTTTCTTTGTGAGGCAGGACTCTGTCTCAAAAGTGCAGCATAATCCAAAAAGAACTACTATTTGATAGGATAAATTTCTCTTCCGGTCATTCATGTAATTCTGTTGTTTCATTACATGTTGTCTTCCCCTTTCTACCACTTCTGAAGGTCAGCTTTTGAGGCTGCCCTCATAGTGGAACTTCATCTATCTGTAGTTTTAACTTGGGCTGGGACTTCCTGACTGACTGACAAATCATGTTTTTTTTTTTGTTTAACAATCCAGTTCAACAAATAATTCTAAAGCTAAAGTTGCAAACTTTTATGTTGGTTAAATGACTGACTCAAATAGGTTGCCTGCGTTAGGCTGTCATTATGAAACTTGTAGCAAACAAAGCACTTCCTCCAAACTGACAAAGTGCTGAACACACAAGAAATGACACAGTAACACAACAAAGATTTCAGTTGTTCCTGAAGGAAAGCATTTTTGTTTACAATCACTGAAAACAGCTAGGCTTTCCTGTTCAGTCTCGCCACTGTGGCTTTGTGATCACAGTTTAGATTTGTTCAGCGAATTGTTGTAACAGGTTTTCACTGGACTAAATTCAGAATCAGGTGCAAGTGGTCTCAAGATAAACACGGTGATAAACAACAAAAATAATAACAGTATGTGCATTGTCACATGATAAAAACTGCGTCTGTGCAAAAAGCAAAATATAAATATGCATAGATGTATGTATAAACATACATATAACTTTACATGAAAGTTCAGGTGTCATCTAGAAACTGAGGAAAACAGTAATGAGCAGAACGACACACCTCGACTGAAATACAGCTAGTCTGACCTGAAGTACCGTGATCCTAAATAAATCAATGTCAGGGCGAAGTTCAGTGTAACAAGCTTGTGATTTGACAGCTTTGTGTTCTTCCTGCAGGTCCAGCTAATGAGGAGAACTTCTTTGAGTGGGAGGCTCTGATCATGTGAGTGCAGATGCACACACACACACACACACACACACACACATATATGCTGCAGAGAGAAGGAACAGTTGCATCTAGAGTTGGGACAAAACCAGATTAGTTGTTTCTGCAGAATTTCAGACATTTTACAGATGATTAATGGAGAAAATAATCAGATTAGTCAGTGGTAGAGATGTCCCAGTCCAGTTGTTTTGGCCCCAATACTGATCCCCAGTTTATATTTAACTACTGGAAATGTTCAATAAATATCTGACATACTGAAAGTGAAATGAATCTGGCACACTGTGTTTGTCAGGAGCTCCTTGATCCAAATCCTGGATCAGGTCCTGGTTCCAAAAAGCTTCAGGCTCATCACAGGGCAAATACCAACTCCTACTTCATGTTCGTACGTGAACACACAGTTGGTGCAACCGGTCCATTAATACTGATCATGTTGACCTATAAATGGGTTTTGATATTACCAAGGCTGTGACTGTGGTTAGTCCTGTCCAGGTTGTGTGCACAGTGTCAGACCTTCCAGTGGTTCATTTACAACAGTTGTAATGTGATTTTTCATATTGCTTTGTTCTGGTTGTGTAGCTCTTTGTTTCTCCCTTATCAGCCTTGTTTTTCAGGTGTTGTTTTGCACTGAGTACAGTGACATGTTACCTTAAGAGAAGCTAGCAGCGTCACCTCTCTTTCTGTGTGTTCCAGGGGCCCTCAAGACACGTGCTTTGAAGGGGGAGTGTTTCCAGCCGTGCTCAGCTTCCCTTCTGATTACCCTCTGAGTCCTCCAAAGATGAGGTTCACCTGTGACATGTTTCACCCCAACAGTGAGTCCACATGCTGCTGCTGGTCTGCTCTGAGCTGGGGCTGAACCATTACGCTGTCAGTCGGTGTCTTTGTAGGAAAGGCCTGAACACGCTTCACATTTTAACCATGACTCACTGTGTATTAAAATACATCACAGGACAACAAAAAGGGATAGCTCATTACTTAAGTATGAAAGTGAAGTACAGTGTAAACAGTCTGTGGTCTTCATACTTCATGTTCCCCAAGTTTATTTATGTACCCGCTGCTGGAGCCAGACGTGACTCTGAAGCTCTGGTTGGGAGCAGCAATGAATCTGCAACTGATTTGTTACAAATGTCCCGTCTCTCTAACCTGCTGGTTATGAAAATAAATACACAACAAAAGACAAGATACACAGCAAGAACACAAGGCCAGGATGATTACATTACAAGACGACACATTTGAGTTTCTTGTTCTCTGATTTAATCACCATCATCCCTCGTTTACATTAAACCTCACTTAAATGAACATCATCTCTTGAGTAGGGCTGGACCCCAGTATCTGGATATTCATTCGTTGGGTAGGTAATCAATTTTCAGTTTTAGAATTCAAATATTCGGCCTCGCTGCACCGCCAACAATGTCGCACAGCAGTGCCGGTGACGCCTACGGTCCTGTCAGCAAAGCTCCATGTGGAAGGTAGCAGGTAGCAGCCTCTGCTGATCGTCACTGTTTGTGGTTAAAATGACAACCATCAGAGTCGTACCAGCTGTGGCTAACTAACGTTAAGGCTGTGACCTAAACTGATGACAGGACAAAATGAAACTTGCTGCTGTTGAGTCTGTGACCTCGCTGCAGCTGGTGGACTAACAGGTAACACGCTGTCCGCTGCTAGCCAAAGATCGTTTATGAGGTAGAGAGGCATCACTCTGTATCATTACTGAATAGTCAGAGTGAAATGTGTTTCTTACGTGTTCCAGCAGAGTGAGATGTCATCACTGGTAAAACTATCAGCTGATCTCACATCAGTGATGGAAATGTAGCACTTTTTTTGTTTTTGTTTTTTTAACCCAAAGTAGCACAATGTCAGCCCATTAACCCACAGACCTCAATCAGATGAAAACAAATCTCATTAGAAGATTGGACCTTCAACTGAACCTCTGGTAAAACTGGAATTGGAACTGAGCAGGAAGGTGGTTGGTGGTGGTGAAAGTCCATATGTTGTGTGTTGGCCAATGGGTTGTGCTCGCAGACAGCCATCATCCAGGTCTGACTACACACACTGCAGATATTTGGACCAGTGTGCTGGACATCATCTTTATCACGTCTCAACAGCAACCAGCACTAGTCATGTGACCTGAAGACCCCTCATGTACTCACAGTAACAGCACCGGCCTGAAGCCACAGTTTGACTTCAAACTGACATTTTACTTGTCTAAACTCGCCACTGCTGCTGTTAGCATGGCGTTAGCATGCTGTCATTAGTACTGTGATTAGTGGACTGCAGGTTGACTGATTATGTCACAGCAGGTAAACGGTATGAGCTCTATACTGATTAGAGGCTGGGAGACTCTGACTCATCGTCATCATCGCACACCAGCATGGCTCTGAGATGAACCTCCTGCTGTCATTGTATCACCTGGCCCTCCATCAACAAACCGGAGCAGATAAAGATGAAACAGATGAAGAAGAAAACGGCAAGCAGAGCTGTACGCACTCTGGACACTTATACAAAGCAGTGTTTTTAGTGGCCTTTGCTGTCACAAACACAGTCAGCTGGTTTATGTGGTGTTGGCATGAAAAGTGGCTGCACATGATCTTGTTCCATATATAAATTATTTAATAAGTGAAAATTAAATGCTATTATATGTCTTATCATTAAAAAGTGAAAATGAAATTGTAGGGCAATAATAAATTATGGTGAAATTTTTATGACCCTGTCAAAATCACAGCCAATGAGAAAGTTCAGCGTGGCCAATCAGAAATATGTTCGAGTATTGATTATTTCTGCCTCAACTGCTGTTCGGCGCCAGGTGCACCGAGCGGACAGCGCAACATTTGAAAAACAGTTGCAGGAGGGAGCAGAATATCTTTCACCCTGTCAGACCTGCTGGATTTGTTTTTGCACCTGTCTTCTCTTCCTGTCTACAGCTCGTCATGTGATGTAACGCATTCGTGCTTATTGGATAAACCAACACGGAGCACTTGGTTTGATGCACGTCTCCCTGCTAATGCAAAGATGGCGGAATCATGGTCATGTGATACTGAGATCACACAGCCATCTGAATCACACTCACACAAGGATTTATGGTGCAGCCCTACTACCTTGTAATCTGTGTTGGGTTCAGGGCCAGATTGTCTGTGACATCTCTTGAGTCCCGCCTCATAAAAGAAAAACATCTTTTATTTTTTGTCTCGACTTTCACCTGGAAAGCATTGCCACTTGCAAAAGGTCTCAGCTCCTGAAAGAAAAGTCTCAACTTTCAGGAGAAGGGTCCTGACTTTTGAAGAGCATCTTGTTTTTAAGATAAAATGTTGGGATGTTCAGGATATTCTCTACTTCTGAGTGTCTACACTTTTCATCAGAAGTGTCTTTGCTTCTCCATTAAAAATGGCTAGCATGAAGTGAACAAACATTGGTTCATGAAGTCGATTGTTGGCACTAATGAGCTCCTGCTCCTCTTCCAGTCTATCCAGACGGGCGGGTGTGTATCTCCATCCTCCATGCTCCAGGTGATGACCCGATGGGATATGAGAGCAGTGCTGAGAGGTGGAGTCCAGTCCAGAGTGTGGAGAAGATCCTGCTGTCTGTGGTCAGCATGTTGGCAGGTAATGCGCATGATCAACACCTGGGTATTGCCTGCACAGTACAGAGTGTCTGTGATTGGTTTATAAATTCTTTCAACCAACATAGGACATGTGATATGAACAGGGAGGTCACGCTCCTGCTTTGAACATCTTTTTCTTTGGAATGGTACAGCTTGGTTCTGCGTCTTATCTCTTGTCTCCTTCTTGTTTCCTTTCCTTGTCTCCCCTCTGCTCCTCTCCTCATCTCTCCTCTCAGAGCCTAATGATGAAAGTGGAGCCAACGTGGATGCTTCTAAAATGTGGCGGGACGACCGAGAACAGTTTTACAGACTCGCCCAGAAGATCGTACGCAAGTCGCTGGGCCTTTAGAGATGATGTCATCACCCTGCAGCAGCACCCAGCCCTGTGTGTGTTTATTTTGGATATAAAGACTCAGTAGACTCTGTGGAGGTGGATGAAGACCTCCACCATGGAAATGACACGCACACAAACACACAGTGCTGCTGATCAATAAACTGATGAATGGATGAATGGCAGCCAATCAGGCCTCATAGAAGTGTGGATCAATACAGAGTGTAAATGTTTTGTAGTTTCTTTGTAAATTCACTAAAAGAATTAGAAGAACAGTCTGTCGTGATCATGATGCGGGAGTGTTCACAGTGGCAGCGGACAGGTGTCGGCTGCGCCTTTTCAACGCAGCATCTCTCTCCTTCACTTTGCACAGATCATAACCCACCACATCATGTGTTCCCCACAGTTCAGCCCAGGTTGTCGCCTCACAGAGTATTTGGACCCTCATTTCCACATCGGAGAGATTCTGTCAGTCGTTAGATCCAGTTGAATCAGAGAAACCGGAGCCCAACTGGTCCAAATAAAGAACAGGATGCCACCTTCATCTTCTCATTCAGCTCTCATGACTTTTTTTCTTTTTTTCCCCTCAGCTCTCATGACAACAACATGCCCATCATGGAGATGTTACAAAACAAGGCAGAGGTGAAGATCAGGGCTGGGAATAAAGAGTGATTTACTTTGAATTTACCAAATAATCATTTTGTCTGTAAATTGTTAGAACAGTGAAAGAACCATCACTGACCTTTTATTGATTAATGAATGATTAGTGTTGGCTGATGAATCGCAGGTCACAGGTCAGCTAAGTGATACCAGTGTGAATGACGTGTTTTACTTCCTGTTCTGCTGCCGTCACCCTGAAACTTTCTGATCCAACCCACTGTTGCTATGTTTGGCTTCAGACTCTGGGTTGGACTTTGATGCACTTTACCTCTTCCCACAGGATGAGTGAGAGCATCTCTGGCTTGTCCTTTTTAAACCTGAGTGTGGACGTTGTGCTTTCGCTTACAAAGCAGACAGGACGATGGAGACAGCAGTTTCTGTTGTTTTGTTGACTTAAACATTAAAGTGAGGACTGAAGAGTGCCCAGTTGGTCTGTGCTGGTTCTTTGACTGCACATCTCACTGACAGGTTTATGCACCAGTTGATTTCTGGATGTAAAACCAGAGCAGCCCCTGTGTCTGTTTCTGAGTAAAAGTGATGTGCTATTAAACAACAGATGTGGAGGTGTGGTCCCACCCAGTTGCAGCATCTGAATGTAGCTGTCATTAATTGTCACCACAAGAAACTAGTCTTGTAATGTGAGACAGGTCTGGTATTAGTGAAGGCCCCGGGTTCACCGTGTCTGTGGATCTGATGAACTGACTGAATACTTGAAATACAAAGTCCTGTTTCAACGCAGCCAGATCTGGTTTAGCATGTTAATATTTCAGCTGACTTTGATCCTGGGGCCTGCCTGCAGGAATAACTGGGAGCACTGGGTCAGTCCCAGCACTGAACTGGTGGCTGGGCAGATTTTAGCTCAGTCTGACATGTTTTCATTTGACTGGGAAGGTTAAAATCAGTGAATTGGTGCAGTGTAGATCATTGCTCAACACAGTGACTCACAACAAACACAACCACATGACTTCACTTTGTTGTAAATAGGCTCCGATGGAATGTTACTGATTCCAGCCAGGAGTTACTTGTGTGTAAAACAGTGGCAGGGGGCTCATACTGTGTCTAAAAGACTTGGTTTCCCATGGCTGTAACCGCTGATTTAGGTTTGCATTACACATCTCATTATATTGTGAAAACCTTATTTGTTCAGGTGGTCTCATTAATGCACATCAGCAACGGGCAAACGTCCCCACAACACAAAAAGTAAAAATGTCTGTTGATGCTTTGTGTTCTTCATGTTAATGCTGCAGCTGGTGAAGGTGGAGCTGATTTTACAGACTTCACTAATGTCTCATAATTTATATGGAGATTATACTTTGCATTACTAAGCCTGAGTGCATCATAAGAAACAGATAAACTTTACAATAAGAATTTAAGTT